CTGCTGGTTTGGCTCAGAGGAACAAATCACATGGGTTTCTTTGACGAATCAATGCTGATCAAAACTTGATGATGCAATCACATTCACTACGGAGCATCTGAATGTCCAATCGCGATGAACCCGTTACCGCGAAAAAAGCCGCGAATCTGCTCTTTATGGGACTTTTTAAAGCATACAAATTGGATTAGTGGTTCAAAAGTTATTAAACATTTAAGAACAACAGTTATTTTTATGCCGCCAGCGGCCGTTTAGGTCTTTAAGGGTTAATGAATTGAAACGACTATTTGCGTGTGCTATATTTTCAGTGCTTATTAGAGTATTGCATTGTTAGCTTAGGAACATGTGCAAACACAAAACTTGTTTGTAAGCTCTAACTGAATTTGTAACAGCATACTAGCATAGGCTACTACTCTAATTATTATTTCCATATCTGGCAGAAATAGTAAGAGAGAAATGCTAGCCATGCATGCTACTGATGCTTATTCAAATTTTGCTTCTCTTAAGTGTTTAACAAGAGGAGTGCTCATAGAGTGGTGCAGGTATGACATCACTTTGTAGGCCAAAACGCGGAAGCGAGTTAGCATTTTAGCACTTCCGGATCCATCATCCCGAAGTCAATGTTTTTTTTTAATGGGATTTTGTTTAGTTTTAGGCTGAAATAAGGTTTGTGGTGAACACAAGCTTAAGACATTTTCACGTTTTATTCCACGACATAAAATGCATCAGTAATTACCCCACATGTGACTTTTTGAAGCTGTAACGTGTCTTGAAAAAGGTGGTGCTAACAAGCTCAGTCCGTTTTTACAGCCTCATTATGCTCATAATTGTGCTCTTATAAACTATTCTAACTCAAACGTTCTGGGAAAATGATTTTAGGTAAATGAGTTGTCGGAAGCTAAGTGATGGTGACGTAGAAGTCGAGCAACCATGTAGTTCGTTTAGCTTTTTACTTCTGGCAACTGCATTTAGGCTTAACAATTGATAAAAGTTGTAATTATCTTTATGGACAAAACGTGAAAGTATCATCACAGAGCTTTTTTTTTTTTTTTGCGATAATCCAAAAGCCTATGGGGAAATCCTATTGGGTTTTTATCAAGGGAGCCAGCATGATAACGCTGTCGCTTGGCCTACAAAGTGACGTCACCTGCACCACTCGATTGTGCAAGAGTAATGGTTTAATTATGTTTATGTACTAGCAGACAGCAAGGCAGTTGGAACAGAACCATTGACTTGACTAGTAAATTATCTTAGAATCATTATGGTCATTTTCTGTGAGGAACAAAATAACAATTTCTCTAAATAATGTCTCCTGAACAGATGCAGATGTTGACTAATACAGATTTTCACAGTAAAATGCTCATCAGTTGTGGAGTTTAATTCGTGACTGCATTGGTCTGGAAACACTGTCCTGGAAATTGGCCATATGGTTTGACAAAGTGAGGTTTCCCCTGAGTGATTCCACGGAGTAGGAGTGTGAGGATGTTCTGCAGAAACACCTTTGAGTAGGCTGTGACATTACATGTCTCCAGATTCTATGCTGAAAAATACAAATGGAGTGAGATTTCCAGATGCACAGAAACAGGGGTGCATAAGGTTGACCATATTTAGCCACTCAGTTGCTAATGGACAATTTATGTCAGCTAGACAAAAAAAGATGAGTCTGAACTCTGAGGTGCAAGTTTTGTCGGAAGAAAGAATTGACTTTTAAGACTAAAAATGTCTATGTCTGAGTTAAGGGGAATTGGATGTAATGAATGCAGCACCGCTGTTGATGGTGGCCATCCCAAATCCAAGATATTATACAGCAGAGCAGCATTTACTGTAGCAAGACGGTCTCAGATATATCGTTTAAATAAATAATACTAATAATAAAAACATTAGGCACCAATTTTATCAGTCCTATTCAGAAACAAAAAATAGCTATGGTATAATGATAAAATCATTCAACTTTCAGATCTAAAAGAAGTGGAGTTTTCAGTATAGAGGGAATGCATTGACGTCACTTTCCCGCCGGAACAAGCCCCCTCAGCCGGACCGAGTGGCAAAAGAGCTGCTGCGTGACTGGATTTAATAGGGGAAACTGTGAAAATGCCACTAAAACGAACGATTATCAATTTAAACTAAATGTTGGACTCAATATAGTGTTCCTTACAACTACTATAGATCCAGTGATCCATGGATATTGACATGCAGCCAGGAATCGTGTTGCCTGACATTTATGTGTGCCTGATTTCGACACCGGGAAAATAAAAGCAATATAGACCTAAACATAAAGCAAATTAGCCTGTGAACGCTTTATATAAATGCAATGTAGTAGATAGGTCTAAATTCGGGTGATCACTTATATCAGTGTTATATATAGCCTATATCATCATATCGTCCTGCCCTAAAACTTGTATAGTTTTTTTTTGTCAGTGTTTATTTAAAAACATCCACTAAAGCAGAAAATACAATGATAAATATTTAATTGATGAGTTGTTAATATATATAAAAATACAATAAAGGGTATGATTTTACACCTAAATTCAGCATATTGACACAAAATGATAACTGCAAATCCACCTTTCGCTGCCTGGAGTCCAGTTGTTTCTGTGAATTGCAGCGATTTGCTCCTCTGTTCTGTAGTTTTCGGCAGTCGGTAAAAATATACCTCCGATTTGTTGTCAAATCTAGTTGTACAGTCAATCGCAAAGCTTTTTTTCCGCTTTATATGTGTTGTGTTTGTTTTTCAGCCGCTCAAATGCAGCCGCTCAGTCTTTTTGCCACTCACTGTGAGTAACTGCAGGCACTCCGGCCGACGGTGACGTCACGCGCATACCCTCTATAGGAACCTGTGGGTGGGGCCAACATTATGACATCATCCCAGGTTCAGAGTGATGAATTGTTTTAGCGGAAGCGGGAGATGGAGGATCTTATTTCTGAAACTCACTGGAGGACTTTAGAAGTAGGGCAAACTGGATCAACTTCCACCTGCACACCATCATACTGTCTTGATTGATGATAATTCAAACGTAGCTATGTACTCTGACTATTTACATACACATTCTACAGTATAATAATGTGTGCGGAAGCCTCTTATCTTCACAAATGCTACTTTTCAGGAAATGGAAAAAGCACTGTATTTTTTAAATAAACACATCGTCAAGGTTGATATTGTGGCTTTATATATGGTCAGACACTTGCATTAGTCATTATATTGTTAAAGGGGTCATATAATGCCATTTTTGTACAAGCTAATATGATTCTTTAGGGTCTAAATTAAAAGTTTGTAATATACTTTAATTAAAAATTCTCATTAGTATTGTAAGAAAACAGTTATTTTACCTGGTCAAAAACAGCTCTGTTTTTATCACGCCGTTTCAGTGTATATGACTTTAAATGATCATGAGCTTTGCTCACTCCGCCCCTCTGTTCTGTGCGTACACGTTTGTAACACAATAACCATAATGCGTTGTTCATTTTAAACGTGGGATTATGAATTATATTGAGAACGTCATACATAGAAAACATGCCGTAATGTACCCTGAGTGTAAACCTTAGACTCATTCATCGTGAAGCGTGCAAGCGATTTGCAAAGATATAAATATTAATATAAAGGATAATAAAACGTTACACTCACTTCAGTTGCTCTAGAGGTTCAGCAGGAACACGAATAGCTGGTACCGATCCTTTATTCAGGAAGCTTCTTAGCAAAACCAGCTTTATACTGATCCTCGTTTATAAAGCAGTCTGGTGAGAAATGATTCGCGCAAACATGAAAGCATTGACGTTGCTCGTGGGGAATATTCCCTTCGAAAACAAACACAGCCACTGCGTCTTCAGCGGTTCAGATTTGGGAACATTAAAATGACTGCTGTGTTCGTTATTACACCCAAGAACAGAATACCATTTGCTTAGACGCCATTCTGCTCATAGACAGTGCTCCAACATATCAACAATGACCGCGTTCGACGTCACGTGGTCGAACGGCTCGATTTGAGGCAGGGGAAAACATATAAGGAGATTAAAACAAAAACACTGGATGGATTTTTATCATTTTATGATGGTTGTGTACAGGCACTGCCAACACACATTTCAGTACAACCAACTTGAAAAAGTGCATGTACCATTATATGACCCCTTTAACATTTTACCAAAATCAAGCTCAAATGGAGTGTTTTTGACTCGTGAATTTTGGAGATTTTCAGAATTCGACATGTGTTTTGTCCAACCTCGCATTACGTTTTTATCGACTAACGGGTTATAAAATTTACTGTAGCTATGTCGGCGCTAGTCGTTTGTCTAGAATCTCATGTCATTGAAGACAAAGTCTTTCACACAGGTAATGTGTCACATAACACGCTATGACTCGACGACAAATGCTAGACTGAGACACTCTTCTCCACTCCTCAAATACATAAAACATTAGTCTTTATATATAGGCTAGTGTTTTTTTGTTTGTTTGTTTGTTTTGAGCAAAGGAGGTGCTGTGCTTATTCAAAGAACCAGTTCTTTATTTACTGTTCGTTGCACAGCAAACAAGCAGAGACAGTCCAAACTGTGTAAAGGGTGACCAATAGTATTTATGTCCATCGTATGCACACTTCAGATTCTCGCTTGAAGTAGAAAGTCATCCGGGTATTTTATGCATACTCTTTTATGAGTACTGTGAAATCGGACATATTTCTTTTGTCACATACTGTTTTACGCCTACTATAGTAGGGAAGTATGTGATTTCGAATGCAGCCATAGCTTTCCTCAGGTAATTTACAGTACAGCTCTTTAGTGTTCATTTATGTGGGTGTTTACTTCCATGACCTGACAAAACAGAATCCTGTTCAATTTTAACAGCTTTGACAAATTTAGCACATGTGAAAATAATTTAGCATCTTTAGTGATAATTGTACTGCCTGCAACTTTATTGTTTATAAAGGGAAGAGAAAATGAACAGTTAGGAGTGTGAATCCATTGACAAGAAAATTCCTGAAAGGAATGCCACACGTTAAAATGAGACCATTAGAATTGATCTAGTCTTTTATTATATATAAAAAAAAAATCACACACCATAAAAATTACATGTACAAAACTATAAGATCTTAAATTGATTTATGTACAGTTACAAAAGAAAATGGCAAAATAAAAAGTGACCAAACAACTCAAATTAACATGTATATTGTGCTCCCATTTGAGACTGCTGCCGCCATCTGTTTGTTGCTTTGAGTCCTATGAGTTTCAGTTCTCACTGGGCAGGAGGGCCATGGATGACACTGTAAATCCAGTTGAGATGGAGGAGGAGGAGGAGGAGAAGGGCAAATTGATGAAAGTGCAGGAAGCACAGACATGCTGTTTACTTTGTCCCATCTGAGTTTCCTCTCACTGCTGTAGTTTGCATGATTGAATGGGAGGAGGAGGATGATGAATATCTAGAGGAAACAAGAGAGAAAAACAGGATCAGAGCCCTTGGCAGAAGGTGTGAAGCGTCTGAAGAGATAAGAAAAGACTGCAGCCCTTGTCTAGTCATCGTGGAGCTGCTCACAGGTCAGCTAACATACAATTTAGAAGAATGATCCAGTTCGATACAATTTAAGCTTTATCGGCAGCATTTGTGGCACGATGATTACCAGAGTGAATTTATTTGTATGGAAAAATATAGAGAATTCTATCTGTCCAACGCTATCTCACGACCAATTCGTATGAATTCGTGCGGTTGATTAAAAGGTGGCTAATTCGTACAAATTCGTACGATCTCACTCGTTTGTCTAAACCCACGTGATGGGTAGGTTTAGGGGCGGGGTCAGGGGTAGGTCATTCCTACGAATTCATTACGAATTAGCCACCTTGTCAAATTTGTACGAATTGCCGTGAGAATGAGTTGGTCTGTCCGTCCATCCATCCATCCATCCATCCATCCATCCATCCATCTATCTATCTATCTATCTATCTATCTATCTATCTATCTATCTATCTATCTATCTATCTATCTATCTATCTATCTATCTATCTATCTATCTATCTATCTATCTATCTATCTATCTATATGTCTATACTGCCGTTCAAAAGTTTTGGGTTTTATTTAATGCGAAGAAGTATTGAATAAAATGAAAAGTTTTAAATGAAAGTATCTCATGCTCACCAAACATTAATTTGATCAATAACACAGTAAAAACAATAACAACATAAATATTACTCCAGGATCAAATGATCCTTCAAAAAAAAAAAAAAAAAAAAAACATTCTAATATGCTGATTTGGTGCTCAAGAAACATTTTATTGTTATTAGAAATGTCGAAAACAGCTTTGCTACTTAATATTTTTTTGTGGAAACGTGATTTTTTAATGAAAATAACATAATTCCTTTGAAATTAAAATCTGAGACATTATAATTGGCTATTTATATTAAAATCTATAAAATATTCCTGTATTTGAATCTTTATTCCATAAATCCATGGTGGATTACTGTAACACTGTCACTTTAACTTCAACTTGCATGCATTACATAAATACATACATACGCTAAAAATGAAAGGGCATAGTCAAACAAATTTATCCTATGACCAACATTATGCCACAAATGCTGTCGACTGAGGTTAACTTCATAGTCTGAAGTGTTCAAAGACCAGAGGGAGCGGGTAAAATTGGCTTTCATAAGTGGTGATTGTGACATCTAAAATTATATTGATCTTATATGCATAAAGGAACAAAAGGAATCAACAGCAGTGCTGGCATTCTCTCAAATCTATGATGGTGGTCTCCTCTTTGGGCTTCTGGACCCTTTGGATGAGAGAACAGCTGATATAAATGTTAATTTGTTGGCAGGAGGAGCAAACGGTGCCGCCAAGCTCTGGAAAGCTTGGAGACCATGAAAGCAGCCGGGATTAGACAAAATCTCTGCCTGTGACTCGACCCCATGCCTTTTCTGCTTCTTTCAGATAATGTATTCGCCGACACCACCTTTAACAGCTCAACACCTGGACAAGGACCTCCATCCATGCACTGTTTCAGCAAACACCACAATCAAAACCTAAATGAACATCCATCAATATTGATCTAAGCATGTCACAAGTGATTTATTTTTAGCTCGGCCCTGACAAAAGAAAATTCATCGGCATGAATTTGGCCTCTAGAGCGGCCATATGTTCCAGCCAAGCGTGCTCAGCTCTGAGACAGATTCTGGATGTTTCACACCGCATGTGGCCTCCGAGATGGATCTGTCTGGAGCCTCCCGGTAGAGATGTGATAGAAGACCGAATACACAACCAAAATCATCCAAACACAGCTAAGATCAACAGCTCCGGGCATTTGCATATTAAGTGAAGTTTCTGTTCCTGCTTGTTTTTAATCTCAGCCGTTTTCTTCTCTCACCTACCCCGAAAAAGCCGTGCGGTTCCGGTGTTTAATCTTGTTAGGTGAAAAATTAACGTTTTCAGTTTGGAGTGTGACGACGTAAACAGACTACTTAAGATATATGGGAGGTTATACAAAGAGAAAAGATATGCCGGTTGTTCCGGTGAAGAGACAATTTCGAGTATAAGAAAGAAGATAAATAAACTTCAAACTACAATCCCATTGCGTCATAAAAGCTTGATCCCTCAACTCTTCAAATGCTTGCCCTGAAATCTATTTATAATTCACGGCAATTAAGTCTAGATTTGTTAATATCTTTCGATTGCACTGAAGCGTCTCCTAATTTTTGAAATATACATGTCAACACCAGTGTATTCAAATATGCTCTATCGTTCAAAAGTTTTGGGTCTGTAAAATTTTTTTTATTTATTTTTATTGTTCAGCAAGGATGCATCAAATTAATCAAAAAATGACAGCAAATACACTTATAATATTACAAAAAAATTAAATTTCAATTAAATCCTGTTCTTTTCATCTTTTCATCAAAGAATCCTGTTTCCACACACAAAAAAAAAATTATATATATATATTTTTTCAACATTGATAATAGTGATAGGCCTACATGTTTCTTGAGCAGCAAATCAGCATATTAGAATGATTTCTGAAGGATCATGTGACTGAAGACTGGATGGAGTAACAGAAGGCAGATATTTTACATTGCGGTTATATTTTACAATATTGAAGTTTTTACTGTATTTTAAATGCAGCTTTGGTGGACTTCTTTCAAAAATATGAAAAAATATTACCTACCCCAAACTTTTGAATGGTAGTGTAAACAAAAGTACACATTTAAATGTATGTTTATTTGTTTGCTCTGTTGGCGGTGCAATTTCTTTTAATCAACCAATCGAGAGGAGCTTTTCAAGACTAATCCATGTTTAAATTAAATTGGTGAAGAACTATACTAAACCCGTAGATGAAAAATTTAGCGTAAACACGTCCAATCTTTTTCATCAGAAAACGAGGACGGCATTCAGCACTCAGATAATCTTATTACCCTGGGTTTGACTGCCATTATAGCTTTCATTATGAGTTATATTGGCACACCTTGTTTCTCGTCAGCACTATTGATTCTGCAATTAAATCCAGCCTGACCATTAGATATCAAATAAAGGAGTCTTTCAATGGATTTTGTGCAAACCCAGGGGCAAACAGTGAATGACAGCTGGGCATAAATCACAGAAGCTCTTTAATAAAACAGCAGTCTGTCATGCAAATGACACACAGGGGAATGACAGCCACATCATTTTCCAAAAGAAAGAGATAAGTAAACTCCACTTCAAATCTAATCACTTTAATGCTAACCTATTTAATCGACGCATACACTTGCACATTTGTGTATGGAAGAATAGGTATATGCATAGAATGTTCATCTTTTTCTGCATACACTGACTGTAAACAATAAAAAAAAAAAACTATTACAAAAAAAATGCTACAGTAAAACCGTCTCAGGTTACATCTGTAACCCCTGTTCTCTGAGAAGGGAACGAGACACTGCGTCGACTACAACACTTTGGGGAACGCCCCCCAGCGTAGCGCCTCTGAAGCATGAATGAAACTAAGCCAATCTTAATTGGTATTGCGTCATGACGTAACGAGTGACAGCATACACGGAAGCTACCAAGGGACGCCGGCACACAACAGCGTCAGCTTCTGTGATGAAGCAAGTCGCTCCCAGGCAGGGGAAGGCGTGGCGAAGGGACGCAGTGTCTCGTTCCCTTCTCAGGGAACAAGGGTTACAGTCGCAACCCGAGACGTTCCCTTTCGAGGGAACTCGAACTGCGTCGACTACGACACTTTGGGGAACGAGTACCCACTATGCCACAACGAGCCCTGCTTGTCCTAGTGTGAAGCTGCGCACAGACACACTTAGGACGAGTGCCAGGCGTAGAACGGATGTCCAGGGGAAAACCCCTTGATTTTCAACCACCACTGCAGGGCCCCCGTGTGCAGCAGGCCGAATGGAATGACGTTGGACGCTGCTGCCATGAGCCCTAACACTCTCTGAACATGTTTTACAGTGATGGCTTGGCCTAGCTTTATCCTGGTCACCGTGGTCAGGATGGACTCGATCCGTGCAGGAGACAATTGTGCCCGCATCGTGACCGAGTCCCACACTACTCCCAGGAACGTGGTTCTCTGGGCTGGTGCCAACACGCTCTTTTTCGTGTTGAGTCTCAACCCCAGGCTCTGGATGTGGGCAAGGATGACATCTCGATGCCGAACTGCCAGCTCTTGTGACTGGGCCATAATAAGCCAGTCGTCGATATAATTTAGCACCCTGATACCCTGAAGCCTCAGCGGAGCTAGTGCTACGTCCATACATTTGGTAAATGTGCAAGGGGAGAGAGCTAGGCCGAACGGAAGAACCCGATATTGGTACGCTTCGCCCCCGAAAGCGAACCTCAGGAACTTCCTGTGAGATGGAAGGATGGATATGTGGAAGTATGAGTCCTTCAGATCTATCGTGACAAACCAATCCTTGGATTGAATTTGATTCACAATGATGGGAATGGTGAGCATCTTGAACCTGAAACTCCTCAGAGACCGATTCAAGTGCCTGAGATCTAGTATTGGACACAACCCCTCATCCTTCTAGGGAACTATGAAGTCATCATCATCAAAGATAGCCAGGCGGGAGCGCAGCACTCGGATCGGTAATGCTTCGCAATCCATGCAGGCAGCTCTCAAAGGGGGCGTGCTGCGCTCCCAAACAGTGCACACACAATTGGTGTGTGTCCCCACCCGTGATATAACGAGGGCAGGGATGCACACACCGCTTGTAGCTCTGACTCACCATTTATATATATATATATACACTCACCGGCCACTTTATTAGGTACACCAGTCCAACTGCTCGTTAACACTTAATTTCTAAGCAGCCAATCACATGGCGGCAACTCAGTGCATTTAGGCATGTAGACATGGTCAAGACAATCTCCTGCAGTTCAAACCGAGCATCAGTATGGGGAAGAAAGTTGATTTGAGTGACTTTGAACGTGGCATGATTGTTGGTGCCA